GCTAAACCCTTTTAAGTCAAAGATGGGTGGTTTGTAACTTGAGTTTGGGCTCAGACAACTTTTTCATCATAAAATAATTAAGCCTCCCCGTAAAGGATTTTTAAAACATTTGTTTATAATGTCAGGGCATAGATAAATTCTCTACTTCATCTTCACAGTTCATACTGTTAAAATACTTCAGTCCAAAGTGACACTAGTTATATTATTGTTAAAAGAGTATACTGACCAAGGAGATAATTAATACATACACATAATAAAAGGCTGCTATAGGCAGAGCTACTAGCACCATTTGTTAATGTCATCCAACACCTTCCAGTAAAAAAATTCCTTTGGTTTTAAATTCACTAAATCTCAGTCCGCTTAGACAACAGCTCTCACCACATGAATCTCTCCAAGCCAGTTTTGATTTGTTATACCAACACTTTCAGCCAGAACACAAAACATTGTATGGTCATTACAAATTGACTTTTCCCCCCCCCACCCTTTTTTTTTTCTTTCTTTCTTTCTTTTTTCCTTTTTTTTTTTTTTTTTTGTTAAAGTAGCATCATGATTTGGAGCAAGGGCCTGAAATTTAGCAAATTAGTACTGTCTGTCAGGGAAATGTTCATCTCATTCTTGATTTGCCCAAGTAGTTATAGGCAAAACACGTGAATGCACAGATAACTGGTTCTCACTTCAGAAGAGACTTTAAAACCTTTTACAATTTCATTTGGGCAGAACTCTGACTGAGAAAGCATCAACACCTAGAGTAAGAGGGACTGCTGGAGGGGAAAGGAGGAGGGAAAGGCTGATTTGACAGGGACATGGGATAGAAAAGGGACTAAGATGAGGTAAGGCTGAATCTCCGCAGTCCCTCCATGTACTTCATGCTGTCTGTGGCAAGGAAGGGCAGAGATCACCCTGGTTTGATAACGCTCCTCAGGTTAGCCTGACCAAGAGCTTTAGGCACAGACCATCCCGGTGCTGCGAGACAAACTCTTGGAAACACGGCCTTTAATTTGTCAGTCATCACGGCAACTTCAGGCTAGCCATGATAAATATTGGCTTGCTTTTAAACATCCTGGTTCAAGCTGAATTACAAATCCAAAGTACCAAGTTTGGTAATCTCAGCTGAATTCTACTCGCGCAGCTATTTATCTCAGGCACGTCACTTGGTGATCTCCAGAGGTCCCTTCCAACCTTGGCGATTCTGTGATTCTGTGATATTCCGCCACGGTGGTATTAACAGAACAAAAGAACATGCAGGCTTATTGCATTTGTGTTTCTATTCTGCTTTTAGCTGGTCAACAGATCAATGACGTGTGAAAGCAGGATAAACATTCTTATTTTGTTCAGAGTATGTTTTGTTTTGGAAAATGGCACCTACAAAAGCTTGACAGTCAACTGAAATGACTTTGCAAGAGGGCAGAACAAGCTGTGCCATACCAAGACGTGCACATACATAGGAATAATTTCTCCAGCAACTGAGAGTAGGTGCTACTGTTTCTTTACAGAACCTCTTGGATTAATTAGTAAGGCTATTTCTTGTCTTGCATTTCAAATTCTAAGGCGCTAACTCCATTTTTGTCATGACACATTCAGGTAAATCAGCCAGCGTTTCCAAGTGTATTTCACGCAACCCAGTCACGGTTATTAATAAAGTAGCCCCCTTCCAGAAAAGCAAAATTTTCAAAAGTTAATACACTACCCTCAACGGTCTCCCACTCTTCCCCTCAGTTTCTGGGCATCGCTTGTGTTTTAGGGAACTAGGAGCAGAAATGACTACACCTTTCGCACCAGGCCCCACACAGGGGCAGTAAGTCCTGGATGCTCCTGAGATAAAAACAGAAAGGTGTACTGATGTTCATATTGTTGACAAGGAGGCAGACAACTTTCGAATTTTATCAAGAATGGGAAATGCTCAAATATATGCACAGCAAATAAATCTGAGTTTTGTTTTTCTCAGAAGGGTGACACTTAACCTATGGTACACAGAATAAACTGAACTAAAATCTTCCCAGGAGCAACAGCAGCACTGAAACAGACCCCAAAATGAGGGTGCAGACTTAGGGACAGTATTCCCTCCTGACACCCACAGACTAAGATATGTGCCTCAAAACTTCATCTCCTGACTGCTGGTCTGAGTTACAGCCAAAAAGTGAAAGCAACATGAGTACACAAAGGAAATTACCCATGAGGATTAAAATAGAATCGCTTGCAAAAACATTCTCAATTTTCATCATCTCTTACATTTTGCATCTTTGTTAGTCATACTTGAAAAAGCACAACAAAACAAGTCTTCTGTGTATTTGAAAACTATCAGCCTTTCTTGGACACTGTCAGCTCCATTTCATTACTTCAAAGAGGTATATTCTATGGCTTTTCAACATAATTCCATGGAAGTTAAATAATCTTACCTGACAGAACTATGAGAAACTTTTCCTTCACAATTTACCTTTGTTCTGGAGAGAAGAATGAAGACTTGTCATATTCAAAATGTCAGCTGACAATTTGAAGTAACAAACGTTTGAAGAAATTGTCCTGGTTAAAAACGTTTGCATAGTAACAAAGAAAAATTTTTCCAAACAGGTTCTCACAACGAGAGACGCAAGTAAAGATGACTTTTGTCAGTGCATTATACATGTGTGCTAGGGCAAAATAACCTCACAGCATTTGAAACCAGGCTCTTGTACCCAAAGTAACACCCTCACCACTGGGTTATATGCTATTGCACCTATTGCTCTGTGGGTCTGATTCTGCTACAGCTGTAGTCACTCAACTAGGAGCTACTGATTTCAACAGAAGCAACAATTATAACAAAAAATACCAAGCTGAACAAGCCAAACTTTGACCTCATTCCCACAATCACAACTTCAAGTAAGGCACTCTTCTTCCAACTGTAAAATTACTGAAGAATGGTGAAGATACCAAATATCAAAGCAAATGTGAAAAGGAAAGTGAAGAGGCTTTTGATTTTTACAGACTACGTATTTTAGGAACTTATTTTCCCTTATATTAGGTTGGTTTGTTTGTTTTCTAAACAGTCTAGCAGACTGCAAGAGCTCCGGCTGCAAGGAAGCCTTCCAGCAGCAAGAAACAAGGACATAGCTCAAGTTTCTCCTGCTGGGGGGTGTGTGTGGGTGTGTGTGTGTACATGTACACACATACATACAGATATTTATGTATGTATGTAAATATAATTTCTAAATCTCTCTCATTTTGATCGAGAGAGATTGATTTAGAAATTATTTCTGTAAGTCATTAAAGCATGAGAGACTCTAAAGCATTCAGTTGAGAACACACTTACTGAACCACTTTAAAAACTCCATAGCAGCCTTTATATTTTCAGATTCATGGTACAATGTGAATATTAATTTCAACATCATCTATTCAGATCATTGCACAGATTTTATTGCTGCCATTTAAAAGGATAACACTATTGATAGCTTAATCTTTATCAAACCTGACATATTATGATTCTTTTAGTATAAAGTCAGATGAAGACATTACAAATTGTATAAATACTAATATTTACAGATAAACTATTTAAAGAATATTCTCTTCATAGTATTGGTCTTTTCTTGATAATTAGAGACCAGAAAAACAGGATTTCACACTCATAATATTTTACTGAATTAGCATTTAAATAATACCTGATTTAAACTAGTTCTGCTTTCCAGAGATTATTAAAAGCTGCAAACAATTAGCTCAAAGTTAACCACACATGCGAAGAACAGAAGAACTACAGGGTTAACTGCTATTTATGATAGTACGATACGACAAGATATGACTGAGCATGAAATTTAGGTATATAATCTACCTAAACCTTTTTTTCCACATGAAATGAACAACGAGGATAAAAAGATGAGAGCCTTCGAAACGTCTCTGCACACTGAATAGCACTGCTACTATTTGCTTTTAAAAATCAGGTACCCAGACGCTTAGAGTTAGTAAAACACTGAAGTCAGCCCCAAGCCTGCTGTCTGTGTACTTAAAACAACAGTCACGCTTCTCTCATACTTTTCACATAGAAAAGGTTGTTTAAATATGAATTAGGCCTAACAGCATAACCGTGCGGTATCAAATTCCATTACCCTTTATACAGAGTAGAAACAGATTGTGGCTTGCTGAAACGGAGAGGAAGCATGAGATTGCTAGGCTGACAGCTCCACAGGCTCCATCATCTCATTTAATGTTTTGTGATAAGACAGCATCTGATTTTACTTCAGCACATCGTACGGCTTTGATAGTTCTAACTACAATCATCATCATGAAGTGCATTTAAAAACTTGAGTTGGTCTTTAGACATAGCAACATTACTTTCCAGATTACAAGCCCCAAACATGGAACAGACAAGTTTAAAAAAAAAAAAAAAGAGAAAAAAAGAAAAAAACCCAAATCAAAAAAACTTTATTGTACTGCAGTTGTTCTTGAATACTCAGTATAAAACCCTTGCTTGACCTCAGAGACAAAAATGCATCCTATTTCTGTACCGTGACTTGCCAAAGTGTATTAAAAAAAACCAGAAGCCATGTTTGTTCTATGTACATCCACAGCCAGTGGGGTACAAATTCTTGTCCCCAATCTCAAAGCCTTCTTCAGGCTAGGAGAGCTTTACAGCTCACACATCTCACTCTATATCTAGCTCAGCTAGAGTATTTTTGTAAAAAATAAATACATGCATATTGCTATGGCTAAGAGACTTGCAAGGCATTCATAGTCCCAAGGCAAGAATACTGGGCAGATTTGAAATATAAAGTTCTTCGAGCAAAAATAAAATCAGATGAACTACTGGAAGATGGCACGGAAAGAGCTAGTTTTAGTTTCAATGTGAAAGATTTTCTTGACTTGACTTTGTTGGGAGTTTGTTTGTTTTTTTGGGCAAACCAGTGACAAACAATAGAAACCATTTCCAAAGAACACCAAGAACAGCGATGTAAGATTATAGACACCACTCTACTCTTCCTTTTGGGAAACAGACTGATCAAAGGAAAATGCTTGACCACAAAACACACACATACACAGTTATTCAGGATCATATCCCAAAATGGGTCCCAGCCATTTCTCCACCTCTGGTACAGGTACATTTTTTCTCAGTGCATAATCTTCAACCTGCAAAGGGAGCACAAAACATGATTTGGAATCTCCAGCTTTTACTGCTTCCAAAAAACGCTGGAACATCTGGTCACAAGGTGTTTCTGAATGCTATAACAATATTATAAGGCACAGTGCAAGTTACCTGATCTTTACCTATCTTGCCAACAGCAAAATATTTGGATTTGGGACTGGAAAAGTAGAGGCCAGAAACTGCAGAAGCAGGTGTCATTGCTAGTGATTCAGTTAAACCAATTCCTGGAAAAGAAAACGAACAACATTTTTGTTCTCTGAATTGATAACAAGCATAAATTCAGAGCCTCTTTCGTTGGGCAGACTGAAAATCCTGAGATAGCTTCTGGCAAACTCAAAAAACAAGCAGCTTTCAACTACACCGTATAAAACCATTTTCCACTTGTTATCTTTTTCAAAAAATAGGCATAGCTTTACATATATTGCAGACTTTCATGACAAGGCTATTGTAGAATAACTTGGAATTTGTTTGAGGGCAAAAACATGGACACTGGCAACTGAGAAGGGTAGAGCTCGAGCTCTGAAACACAGGAACGTATTCTGGGATTGTGGAGTCAGCAGTGAAGTAGCTGACATTTAAAATATCAGAAGAAAACAAGGGAAATAATTCGTTCCGTTTTAAGAGTTACCATCTCAAGGTTTCTGTGGTCCAGGAAAGACACTGATGGATTGGCTTTTATTTCGTTTATATCTGGAATGTCTTCTTACAGCCATAAGGATGCTTAAATTTTTCTTTTTGTGCAGCAGAACCCTGTTTGCATGCAATCTGCTAATTAGGGACATATCTCCTTCATCAACAGCACTGGCAGTATTTTGCAAACTCTTCTTTGAATGAGGCAAAATAAAAATGGCAATGAAAGGGGAAAGACAGCAACTCGCAGAACTGCTTCAGTTTGACTTTTTTACATAGCTCTGCACTGCCCATGTCATCATTTTGTTAGCATTTCAATCTTCAATTTACTTTTTTAAAAACAGTAAAAGTCAAACGATCTTAGAAAAATGTACACGAGTACCTATTGTTTCTTCAACGTTTGCAAGTTTCCACATGGTGAGTTTTTCTGTATGGTCTGGTTGGCTTGGATACCCAGGGGCAGGGCGAATTCCCTCGTATTTAATTCTTCGCAGGTCTGAGAGATCTAGCTGCTCAGTACTGCAGTAAGCCCAGAACTCCCTTCGAACCCTTTCGTGGAGCTCCTCAGCAAACGCCTTGGAATAGAGTGCAAAGATTTTTTTTTTTAATTTGTGGAGACTGATGCAACAGCCATTTGATTAGGATGAACAAAGTTACCGACTTTCTCCTTGTCCCCCTTTTATGTTTTAAGGGGGATCTTATTATAGGTGAGAAACTGGATTAAATTTAAATTCACATAAGACTTATTTTCCCTAGTCAGGTGTTTTAGATTTTTCTCCTTTTGGTAGACTGAGTTTTTTGGTCGTCCTGCTGTAAAATTATACCTACATGCATGAAGACGTAAAGATGTAGGCAGTTACAGGAAAAGATGAAGTTTATTAGCATGTGGTGACATTATATCACTGTCGCACTGAAGACATCCAGATGCTGACCATTTTGGACATCTCCTCCAGTTCTAGCTATGGAAGGACACATCATTCTTGCCTCCATGCTTGTATCAGATGTAAATAAGCATCACTGTTCTTTTTAGCAGAGGAGCTTTCCTCTAGCTGAAAGTGGGCTATAGCTTTTATCATCTGCTCCTACAGCTTACACCAGAACTTTGCCAACAATGGCTGCATTCAGGACAAATTCCCACTTCAGTAAATATGTTCGGATGGCATCAAATAATAATTTGTGAAACTCCGTTATAGCTAAAGATTCACAACTGGAGCTAACCCTGTTCACTTTGCACTTACGGTGCTGTAAGCTTTAACACGATTACTTAGGTTTAAGCACGGGGCTGTCAGGCAGGGCAGGGGGGAGATGTACGGGCAGGTTCTTTCTAAATCACTTCAGCTAGAGCTTTAAGAGCGTGTCTGACTATGCCTAAGGCAGCCAAACAGCTGTACCCTGGATACATCTGCATGGCTACCATTAAAGCAAGAGGAAGGCCTGTCTGCAGTCCAGGAATGTAACCGATGAGTCACACCTGGGTCCAAACACTCTCCCTCATCTAAATAAAGGAGGCTTTAAAGATCTTTTTAAACTGTCTTGTTTTAAAATCTATTAAATTCTATCAAAATGCACATTAAAAACTGGGAGGTGGTTTTGCAACTAAAGGATATGGATAGCAGACTCCCATCAGGCTCAGAAAAGGACTCTCCCCTCTAGCAAAGTTCAGCAGAAGCACTTCACTTTCAGATTTAACCCAGAGCGTACCTTACAAGCAACAGCCTAGAACCTGAAGCAGCAACTTTTTCAACAAAGTACAGAGTCAGAGAAAACTTACAGGGAGACGTATGATAAAACCTCGTACCTCTGCTAACCGGTCTCCAAGAGCCTTTACCATTATGATGTTGTACTCATCATCCTGCTTCCTAAATTCAACGCACAGCTCATCTACACCAAAGCAGGCCACAGCAAACAGGCCTAAGTAGTCACAAATGCCAGAATCCAGTGGTGCTATGAAGTCAGAGAGGCAGTAATAGGGATCTGTGCAGGCAGAGTCCTTTTCAGCCTAAAATAACAAAAGCAATGCCATAAATCAGAACATTTTTACAAAAACATTTAATTAATCACTATTGATCTAAAGAGCAGCCTTTTTAACACTACAGGACAGAACACATCTCTAATACACATTTACCCTGGTCTTTGAGACATGATGCCTTTCCCGTGCTTGAATTAGATGAAAAACACCTCTCCTCCTCTGAGGGCATTTGGATCACTGATGAATAAAATGTCAAATGTTCTGCACTGAACAGATATGGAGAGATGCTTTGCCTCTTGTAAATAGAGGCAACAAGCTTTAACAGTTCTATTCTGCACACAAAGCATTACAAAACAAGGAAAACACTTTTGCCAGCCACTAGGGAAGAGGAATTTTCAATTTCTAGCACGCTCAGGTTCCCCATTTGCTACCAAAACTGAGGGTTGATAGCTTGCATCCCAATTATGCAAACTGCAGAATTCTTTAGCAACTCGTTAGCGCTTTAGAATGCCTCTGAGAGTTTATGAACACTCATTATTTCGTAAGCTACAAACTGCGTGCTCAGTAATCCGGACAAAACGATGCCCCTAACTCTACTTTTACATGAACCACACACTAACACAAACCACCACCGCTGAAAAGATGAAACCCAAGCAAGGTTCCAGAGGGTTTACACAAAAAGGGAATACCTCACTCGCTAGGGCCTCTCCCAAAGCAAAAAGGGGAAAGAAAAAGAGCTGACTGAATGCTGACAATAGCCTCTAAAACAAAGTTTGGCAGTTGAGCATCAAACCAGCATATTCACTATAGGAACATGACTGGTATTTAAAGAGCGGCACAGCTTTTGAAATCTACCCAGCTTAGAAGGAGATAAAAGCTATTTCATGGGTACCACTCGACTCGCAAGATTCTCCACCAAGTTTTCTTATTCTACAACACTTTTGCATTAACAATGCTTTCCACCCAGTTCCCAACTGCTGTTTAAAAAAAAAGAGGAAAACAGAGGGAAATGATCAACCGTGTGCCTTGTTCCATAACCAAACAGGCTGTAGAAAGCATCATAAAACTGAAGAAATATAAAAGCTTTTTCCACACAGGTAATCTCAATATTAACTTTGAGGTTCTCTTATCAAAAAGACGTTAAAACGCATCTACAACTTTTAGATTTGCATCAAGTCCTTACTAGCACCAATGTCATGGAGAGAACCCTGTGTACTGAAAGGAATGTTTTCCGTAAGGAGAAAGAGACAATTATTCTCTTCTACTTGGCCTCAGCTGAATTACTGTGCACGGGAGTCCAGAAGAACGGTACCCACAAAAGCATCAAGAGTTTCATGACCTTAACCTTTGAGAAAACCTGAAGGAACGGGGAAAAGATGACATGAAAACAATATGGAAAAAGGAAAGTAACAGTATTCCAATACATAAAAATCATTAAAAAAAGAGCGTCAAATCAGTTGCTCTCCATGGGAGAGCACTGTGAAAAGGCCAAGAAAAGAAACTGTAGCAAAAATGATTTAGATGGGATATCAAAACTTTTAACTGGGTCGTAAAGCCCTGGAACAAGTTACCAGGAGGAGTTGTAAGACAGCCCCCCCCCCGGGACATTTGTGAGAACAGTTTTTATAAAAATCTGCCATGGATTGTCAAGGGACACTAGAGCCGTATCCATGCAGGAAACATGAAGAGATAATCTTGAAATCATGTATTTTTTACTGAGTCCTGCAATATTGACATAGGGTTGTCCTCACACAATACTGTACTCCAAAAATTGAGGTATCTTAAATTTGTTTCCACTACATTTGATGACGCTGAATATGTAAACTATGAAGAAGCCAAACCAAAATTTGGGGAAGAAGGAGAGGCATAATATCTTGTAAACGTTGCTCAACCTATCAAGATACATGCAAATCTAAATTAGTATGACTGAAGTATCAGTTCTCAAAATAGTGATTCTCTCATCAGAAGTACCAGCCAGCAAAATAATTCTAAACTGCCACTTCATATGGAGAATTTTACATAAAAATTAAGACTATCAGAAACTCTCATCTTCATTGAACTTTACTTTCCATGCATTATAATTAGAAGTATTTTTTAAGCTTAACACATTCCAGCAGCAATTTCTCAGGTAAGGCAGAATGCAAGGATATTATTAGTGAATTTAGGTTCATTAGGTTCTAATCTAGCACACAGGATCTATGTGATGAATTTATACAGCAGAGTGCTTTAGGACAGCTCAAATATTAAAATGGAGACGGAAAACACAGATCAAATTTGAGGATATCAACTCTATTAAGCTTTCTGTACAAATATTATGCTTGGGTCATTGCTAACAGGATCTTATTACTACCGAAAGAGAAAGAAATGGCAACAGATAACGAATGAAGTCGGATAACAGCAAGCATTTTCTGCACAGATTTTAATAGGGCCCTTTTGTTCCATTCTTGCAATTCACCACAAAAAATTTTATTTTTATTAAGGAATATTCTTTCATTATACCTGTTGTCTCAAGCCATAAAATTTTGCTATTGGTTCCACAGATCCTACTGTATCTTCTGTGGCATATAAATGGATATCGTCTTGAACACTTTGAGCTGGCCAGAACCCAACCACGCCCCTGGCTTGTAATTTCTTTTGATTAATCAATGCTTTCAGTAGATTTTGAGCATCGTTATAAACTCTCTTTGCTTCTTCACCTGTAAAAAAAAAAAAAAAAAAAAAAAAAACCTTAGAAAAGGCACATTTTCACAACCAGTTAAAAGAGCTTAAGATTGACTCATTTTCCACATAATTCTCAGATCACTGCAACAATCTGTCAGCTACGGAAAAATGGAGAAAACATCACTGTGACTACGTCTATATGGCTACAACAACATATATCTTGAAATAAACGTTTCAGCAGTGCCACTCTAGTAGAGGCAGAAGATGCAGAACAAGATGAGTGATAGGGAAAAATGTGTGTGAACCTATATTAGCACAGCGCAGCAGATCAGAACATTAACTTCAATAATATGCTTATCGTTTCATCATGTATTCCAAGGCTTACTGAGTAGTTTCAAAAGGAGACAGTCTTCTTGTCACAACAGGAACATAGACATATTAGGTACTCTGTTGCCATCTTCTGTCATTAAAATAGCTCTCTGGGTTTTGGCATCCAGGTCAACTCCAAACAAGATAATCAAACATTTTTCCCCATTATTTTGCAGTCTCACATCCCAACACTTCCTTCAGTCAGTGTTGCTTTACACAGATCTCAGTGCAATTTAAGTTTCTACATACTTTTACTATTCCTACGTATTTCAAAACATTCAGAATTTTAATGCAGCTTGTCATGTCTGTCAGGATTATTTACATAAGGTAAATACAATTTCAGTACTTACCTACGGTTTTATCATTAAAGATTTTAGGGAAACCACGGTTGGGATACTTTCCCCTAAGTTGCCAGACATCAAAGAAAGGCTTCCAGTCAATGTACTCTACCAGCCTCTTCAGGTCATAATCTTCAAAGACTTTCGTGCCAATGAATTTTGGTTTAACTGCAGGAATCAAAAGAACAAGATGACATGAAGGAAGTAATTGAATACTGTCCTTATGTGTGCAGCATAACCAGCCTCCACCACTACAAATGACCTCTTCCAAAGTACTGCCTTAGAATTCTCACTGCCACATCCTTCCAATGTGATACCATACCCTACAATTATAACGTGACAGATCAACTGCTAAGCATAAAAATAATCAAAGTACAAGAATTAAGGCCTTTTATCATTCATATAGATAAATTAGCTGTTGGATTTCTGAACTTTTACATTGGCCAAAGTATTTAACAGAAGATCAGAAAAACCAACACAACCTATCTAACAGATCTTACGTGCACATGACATTCATAATTATAAATCCTGCTTTCTATACAGACATACTATGTGCTATGTTATTCTAGCATAATTCTGACAAGCAATATGAATTTTCTAAGTGCTTTTTCCACTGCCACACACTTTGTAGGATGCATATGCACAAGTGAGAAAGAGTGATGGATCCATGTTATGATGTAGCCGCAAGCTTTGCACCTGTTTCATCTATGTTGTCCACAACTAGCAGGAGCTTTACTGAGATGAGCTATTGAAAATAAGCATTCCTCTGAGTCTTGTAAAAGAAATCACAGAAAACAGCAAAGGTTAATGCCACTGCAAGATATGACTTTTTATGGAATGCTGTTCATACTTCTGATGTCTAGTATTTTAAAACATTCAAACTGAAACAAACCGGTACAGAAACTAGTAGAGGGAGGGGAAAAAAAGCCTTTAACTCTTCCTCTCTTCAATTTTAAGGTGGAATTTGATACAAACATGATGTCACAACCTGTGTTTTCTAAATGTGAACTAACAAGGTTCACAATGTAACGATCTAGCCCAACATTCTTTCAGAAAGCTGCCATTAAACTTATCTTTGATCATACAGCGTTATGGGTAACCTGCTGTTTGGGGTCCCCTCCCACATTTTTTGTTAAAGATTTTTTAAATATATTGAGAAAAACATGGAGCAGAAACAGGTCAGCAACATCCAATTTATGCATCAAAAAAACCCTGGTCAAACAGATAACGTTTCTTCCAAGTTGTCCTGCTTTTCCTGACAAAATGCTACTATATCCTTAAGTTTAATGAAGCATAATTCAAAAAAAAACAAAAACAAAACAACAACAACAAGTAAACTGACCTGGTTTATGGCCTGATAGCCAGTCATTATGGAAACCTTTTCTCCTAGCTTGCTGTAGAGACAAATATCTTCTTTCCTGTATGGACATAAAGGATACTTTTACAAAGCCTCTCATCTTTCAAAGAGATAAACCATTGAGGTTGTTGTACAATTTTACTCAAAACATTCTTTGGGACATACCTCAGTTCCACCAACTCCCAGTTCACACAGGTAAAGAGAAATTAAATCACAACGAACTAGCTATACTATACCATTATCTTTTCCTGCATGCTTTTAACTTGCCTACAAGATTTCTAGTTCCTCTGAACTACACCATAAGCTCCTTTACTACTTTCCTAAACTTTACAGGAACACAGAAGTATAGCAGGATGCTGTCCTAATAGTTGTAGAAAGCTTAGGACTGCAGTGATGATACCACTAGTGACAGAGGCATGCCTCTAGGCAAACTACTGGCTCTGCTGAAACCCTTGGAAAACATACAGCAACTTCAGCAGGGTCCATGAATTTGCTGCTGACCTCTGCTTACAGAGGAGAACGCTGCCCTCACTGATCTCAGCCTGCTGATTTTCTGCTGAACAGGTTCCTTGCCCAAAGACATCTTAAGCACAGAAGGGCAAAACGTTCACAGCCAAGAGGCTTCCTTCTTTACTGTTCTTTATCAAGAGACCACGTAAGAACTGGATGACTTTCAGCTGGCTTCTGGGTTTCTTTACAGAGAAGACCTAAAAGGAGTCATTTGTTACTCGGTTCCTATGGTTGGTCTGCACAATCGATCCCTGCATTTCATTGCCTCCTCTTAACTCTCCTGAAACTGCAACCCCAATTATTTCAAGATTGCTTAGATTCCTAACCTAGGCAACATGAACATATCAAGAAAATACGGTGTTGCAAAATATCCAATGGAGTATGGCTCAGCTACCAGAATAAGTAACCAGTGCCGTTTTAGTTAACCGTGCATCTCTCTGCTTCCAGCTCCTGCTCTAGGAGAGCACGAGTCTCCTGTAGGTCGGCGTGACTGCCAGCCCCATGGACATATCCTGAATACCACTGATAGCCCACTGAAGACAAGGGAGACTTTCCCAAGAATATTGTGACTGTCAGGCAAAATTTTCCCTTACAGGCTAGAAAATTTGATTTCATATTCACTTCTGTAAGCTTTCCATCAATTCTACTGTATATTTTAAATCAGCACAAATAGACCTGAAAGTCATTAATAAGGAACTGAAATTGAGAGTTAATAATGAGGTAGCAACCACTCCAGACAAGAAAAGAAGCTAAATCAATCATATTTGTACCTTGAGAGACTCATAGTGTTCTTGTCTAATTTCTTCATATTCCTCTAGTATTTCTTCAAAGAAGTCATCCTTTAAACTTTCATCTAGGAGCTGGGAACACTGAAAAAAGCAAAGAGAAAGCACTAAACAGATACTATAATACAGAATAGCAAGGACAAAGCATGAACTTCAGACTAAGCCATCATTCCTTCAAACTCTAGTTTCCACGAACCTTATCTTACTAAACTCGACAGTGCTAAACTCAGCCTCATCACTAACCTGCCAACTAGATTTAAAGCATCTTTACGAATATGATTACTACTGAAAATACTGCCCTACTACACAGGTAGTATTAAGAGAGAACAATCTGGCTCTGGAAAGACCCAAGAGGAAGATACCCCAGGACTTTAGAGCTTGAATAGTCTTAGAAACACCACCACAGCTTGGCCTAGTTCTTTCTAGTAGGTATTAGCCAGCTAAGACTACCCATTCTTCTAAGAGAGAGAGCATCTATCCTAGACAAGTCCAGTCAGCCATTTCACAGCACTAACATTTTTTATTGACATTACCACTAACTTCAGAAATAAAAAGATGAGAGAATAAATAGTAGGTAACATCATCAAACCACATCACTTCTCACTATGAAATGTCCGAGAACTGCAGGAAAGGCCTCAGAGCGAATCATGCCATTGTCACTGGAGAAACAGGCATTTAAATAAAGGTACTCAATGACAATAATTAAAATAAGTCTGATGAAATAACCAAGTGACAGCAAAAAAGAACTCACGCAATAATAGTTTGGAAACCATGGTCTCTGCAGTGCCTCCTCAATTTTGTGCTGTAATTCTAAGCCTTCGAGGAAAGGATGAGGGGCACAACAGAAAAACAGGGTGTATATTTATGCATGGATGGGAAACTGTAATGTAGAACTTACAACCACAACACTCTTGGACGCATCCAGGACATGAATTACAGGTGCACTGTATCGTGGGGCAATTTTAACAGCTGTGTGTGTTCTTAAAGAAAAAAAGAAAAAGAGTGAGTATTTCACAACTGAAACAACAAACAGACAAAACCCCAGAATGTTTCTCTCTACAGTCATATAAACCCTGACTTAATGGATAGACAAGAACTTCAAAAGAAGAAAGGAATTCATCCATCTGCTACATATGGATGATTAAACACATTATAATCGATAGGCACACAAACACTTTCCTTCAGAGAATATCAGAATGCTTTATAAGCAATGTGCCAACTTATTCACCCTCCCTCACTGTCTTACCAGCTGACTGAAAGTCAGCAACTCACTGTCTGAGTTGCAGAAAATTTCAGTGAGAATGGTCCAAGCTAAGCCTACCAACAACTAAAGAAACTTATCTTTTTTGTGCATCTTAGATTTTTCCCTCCCATATGTAAGTTTCTGAGTTTATAGACTTGCATACTCTAATGACTGTTACTTCAATTTCTACAGTGCTCTACCTTAGAGCCAGAAGCACAAGCTCTCTACTCACCTGAGCAAGGGACTCTCTTAGTGGTCAATAAATAGAAAAACTTGCTCCTCCTAGGCCAGTCATGTCATATGCAATAAAAAAGCCCTCTCAGTTCATCTAAGTATTAAATGTTTACTCATATTCCAACCCTATCCATCAAAATACTTCAGTATATAATGAGAATCACTTCCCTACTATTTTGTTTGGGGTCCTGAACTGAGGCCTTGGCTAATGTATGAAATGCCGCTGACTAGCTCAATTGCTCACAGTCCTGGCAAACTACGTGCAAGTAAGCGCAGGAGCGATGACCTTGCAGACAAAAGCTCAGTTTGCTTTCTTGAGTCCTAAAGTCAAACCCCATTCCCTGACCGATTTAAATCGGAACTCAGGATGTGATCTTCCACAGTCAAGATAAGATCTCCTTTTTCTTCAGGTTCTGTCAAATATTTAAAGCATTTGGACATAGAGGTTACTGATCACAGTAGCAACATGATGACTGTGTAAGCAACTGTTTAGGATCTTCTTAATTTGCTTCCTTACAAGGCACTTTTGATCTTAGCAGATGCATTCATTACAAACAAGATACAGTATCTTCCATTTTGATAGGAGCAGAAAAAGGGAACAAACAGGGCGCGGCCCTGCAGTGGCACTATATCATTTAACGAAAATTATTTTTTATAAACATTACCACAACAAAACTTTCACCGTTATTCGTCAGCATCTGAATTTGCCAAAGCAGTATAGCAATAATAAAAATGTCATAGAAAGTCAAGAAGAAACTCAATTACGTACATTCTGTAGGCAGAATCCAGTCTCTTTCTCTTTCAAACTAACCTCATTTCCCTCCTTTCCAAGAATTTATGGTCCACTCATTGCAAAAATTGGAGCCTACTCATTACAGAGAGTAAGCGTAGAGGTTGCTAATGAAGAATCATCTAACACATATACAAGCTTTCAGAACGCACGTGTGGTTAAACTTAAGACTATGAAAAGAAGCAAAATTAAATGTATATTATCTATTCAGTATGCCATAAAGAATAGCTTTACTTTATATGTACTTCACAGGACTTGTATTTATCTGGGCAGATGCATGTGTATATGTTTATACAGAGTTCACATGAAGAATAAATTATCATTTATGTAAATAAAATTATACATATATTATTCAATAATCTCCGTATTCAGGGATACAACTTAGGCCAACCTTGCCGTTGGTTACATTCATCTCCAAGAAGTCTAAAAACTGTGTGACACTGGTTATTAGGACACAATGCCCAATGCACAAACACTAAAAAACATATGACGAAGGGGCCCTCCTAAGCCGTCTACTTAGAATAAAGTTTTTTTGAAGAGAAAAATTCCATGTTTGTTCTCAAAGAGGCTCCCACGAAAAAGGAGAAAAAGGATACAGTTAACCATGCATTATAACTAGAGAATCAATTTAGACAGACAGTAATCCTACTATTCACTATCCGTAAAGTTACGTCAACTTCAAACGTTAACCTTTATGTTAGTCTTAACGCAATTTGCTAAGGCCGAAACTACAGGATTCATGGACCTACTGGTTCTGACCAGAGCACGCGCTGCTCTGGTAAAGAAAGGAACACCGCTAACAGCTTTTAGTTATGCAAGAAATGACTTCTGCAATCTCCTCAGCTGCCACCTATTCAAATATATCGGGCATAAACCAGTCAGCAAAGCGTGACCCAAGGCCGTTACACACGCCCAAAACACATTTGTGGTAAGCCTAATACTAGGTGTCAGCCAGCGGTCAATGCTGTTCTACAGTACATCATAGCAGCTGTATTATTTCATTGGAATGGATCTGAGCGCGTAAGATCGCAACAGAATAGCTCAGTCTCTCAAGTGCAAAAACTAACTACTTCAAGGCAAGCAGCTAGAATGTATCCCCTGTTGGCCTGCTCGAGCAGGACTGGGGCTCAGCATTGCTAAGTGCTGAGCAATGACCCAGGAAGTCATGCTAGCTTTCCTGAAGACAGTTAACTGCTTGATGTCAATAGGACCATTTCTAGGCTAAAAATCATGCCTGTTCAGAATGCCCCGAGGAATCGAAACCAGATCATTCGACCCCTTAGAAGAACAGGACTCTGTTCATATGCATATGCCCGTGAACTTCTAGACAGAAAGATTAAGGTCAGCACATTTAACACTTGCACAAAGGAAATATTTAAGGTGTCCATTATTGGTTGTGTCCCAATTACATTCTTCCACTATAATCCAGCACCTCTAATATAAGAAATAACTTTATCAGTCTTAGAAAAACGCATAACAACAACTGTGTTGAGGGAAAACGAAGGAAAGGGGAAAAGAAATGGCTATAAAGTTCCTTTCTTCCCCAGTTCACATTATTTTCATGCACATTTTCCCATCTTCCCAACCCAGACATCTTACTTAGAAGTAGTTGCTCCTCCAATCAGCAATGGAATCTTTATTGCTAATCTCTCCATTTCCTTGGCAACGAAAATCATTTCATCCAAAGAAGGGGTGATGAGACCAGACAGGCCAATGATATCTATTTGAAATTTACAAACATACACAAAGAAGATTTAGCAAATCCACTCTAGAAAGATGTAAAAATTACTACAGAATATGCTTCATTTCTAGCTTCATGCATCAGACTACGTAGTGAAATAAAAGCATGGTAACCGTTAACCTGGAAGCTAGATTTGACCTAGTTACAAAGTCAAAGCTTTCCAAGAATGAAGGTCGTTCCAAATCCCCAGTCTTCACAGCTGCTGAGCACCTACTGCTCTAGTTTCACAGCCATGTATATACAGTAGTTCTGATTATCAAGCTTCGCTTCATACCTTCATACCACTGAGGTTTGTTGCTTTTTTGAACTTGAGGTAACTGAGAGGGTAAGAAATTAAATTAAGAAAAAAAAAAAAATCTAATTTCTAGCCAAGGTATGTAAGATCAGGAATTTCATCGAGACATGAAATAAGACAAAATAATTATAGGCTCTGCTCTTAGAAACAGTCAGCAAACACTTTCAAATTTCACCACCTGTGTTCCACACAATTCACCTCTTCCAAGATGCAATGCACAATTTGAAAGCAACTGTAAGTTGGATCAGAAAGTTCATTATTTTTTAGAACAATTCATCCTAGTTTTCACACTCACTGGTTTGGAAGGCTGAATGAAAAGTTATTTTATGGATTTAAGACTCAACACAAAGCTACTTAACCTTTCCAAGCCTCCATTTATTCGTCTGTAAAACAAATACTAAAACACGTCTCTTGGACTTGTTCTCGTAATAAATGTTTTCAGTTCCTTGGATAAGTTTCACAGAAGTGCTAAATACTAAATATTTACTGTTGTTAACCTACAAGTTCTGATTTATCTGAGGGTAGTCTGACCAAATCATAAACAGCACAGGAATGCAATGAGTAGCAAAAAAAATGCAAGTGGGGTTTAAAAATCAAGCAATTCAGGAGTACTAATGAAATCTCTCTATACCTGCTTTGTTTTCAACAGCAGCTCTCAATATCTTATCACATGGAGTCATGACTCCTAAATCAATAACTCTGTGAAAAGAAGTGAGATGACACAGTATTTTTTAAGTAGTAGTCAAATATTTCTGTTAAAGGGCAACATTGCTCTTACTGTAAATGGCTGACCTAAGAAAAACAAAACAAAAAATCTTAAGACTTCTGTTAGTAATTTGAATGTAATTTTAATGTACTTAATTTAATTTTAATGTAGGACATAGCTCTGGGTCTGGAAAAATTTTCAGCACAGTTGAGTTTTAGATAAGTACCAGAAAAGTACCAAAGAAAAATTATTAAAAATTATTTAAAATAATTTTTTACATTACTTTTTCATGTTATTTCTGAAGTCAGTTGAGCAATATTAGAAGGTTTAGATATGATGAGGACCTCATACCTTATGTCAGGAATATAATCTGATTTATATTAATTATCCATTGTATTATTAAAGCCCACATTGTGTGAAATGAGACACTGCACTTTCCTTGTTACCATTCTGTTCCTATCATCCCAAGCCACTGCCAGGGTTTCTGTTTGTTTGCTTTCTCCAGTGAGCCACCCGAGCCTGCTGGCTTCGTTAAGCCTCACTCCTACACACATGGCGACAGTGAACTAAAGCCATGGTGTTTTCTAAGTGGTTCTTTCTAAATAAAGCTCAAGGAAGTCTGAAATAATCAACAGAAGTTCAAGAAACACTGAAATTGAATATATAGCATATACACAGCACTGTTACTGGCTTCAACACTTTTCCTTTAACAAAGAGATGACTTTGGCTCTTCTGTAGAATAAGTGACAGCCACCAACAGTCAAAAACACCACAAACAACAACAGAAAAAAGATGGATGATGAGATGCAAATCCAAAGCAGATTCAGCTCTGAGAAACATCTGACAGACTCCTGACGAAGGGCTTTGATGGAAATGTAACTACTCCATCCTTGCTGCCAACCCTGCAGCATGCACACAGGCCTGGAAAGAGCTGACTTTTCTTAAAATCTTTTAGATTTTAGAGTCAGGATTAGAATCTCTTCCTTTACTTAATTAAAAAAGAAAAAATTTCCCCAATAAGTTTTTAAAACCCTAGTTAGCAAACAGCTTGAAAAACATACCAAAAGGTTCACTAGAATCTTACTAGTAAGATTTAGTTTTTTCCAGCACACTACACTATGTGCAAGCAGTCTTGCCTGCTGCAATTGTCCTGTTTTCTTAAATACAAAAAAATTGAAGATCTCATCTATATTTCAGTTAAACTTCATCCATTTCAGATACCAATTTACTAGGAAAAAGGGTATGAAAGAAGGCTATATTCCCTCTTGCCTCTCCATTGGTAATGGCTGATACGATCAGCGCTCTCGGTCACAACTATAGGAACAGAGGAGGACAGTAATCAACAAATGTCCACCTCTAATCTGCTATCATCACCACAGCTGCAGCTAGCCTCACCTACTATTGAGGGAGCCTTATACATTAGCTAGCCTCACACATTATATCAATAACCAGGAACAGAACTGTTATTCTCTTTACCTGAAGTTGTTACAGCCCAGAACAACTCCCACAATGTTCTTGCCGATATCATGTACATCTCCCTTGACAGTGGCTAGTACTATCGTACCATGGTAAGGATCCTGAAAGGCGAACAGGTAACACTGCAATTAAACTGCTCAGAAGCCTGAAAAAGTTTGCACAAATTCTTCAACAATGGAATCCTCATCCACAACTGAGATTCCTATTGTAATACATATAATTGCGAAATATAGCGTATTTGATGTAATCAACAATTATTATAAGAGATCCTAGTCATAAAAACCTGTACTTAAACATACAAATGATTAATAATAAAAAGAAACATCCTTGCAGATTGAATGCATATTATTCAAATATCTGGGTTTAACAAAAATTACAGACAACAAGTTTCAGATCTGGATAGCATTTTGTGCTATGCAACACTCGAACTTGCAGAGCACCCCTGCTTCAAACATAAACCCCACTGATAAATAGTTTAAATGGATTAAATATTTAGAACAACAAGGTATGAACGCTCATAATCACACACCCGTTTGTGCATCAAGGGCAATCATCCAATGCAATGCTGCAAACAATGAGAGGAATTAGGAAAAGCAAGAGGTTTTTTTTATGCAACATCAGTAGCAAGGGAAACATTTTAGGCTACTTCAGATTATCCAACCTGAGCAAACAGGCTGGAAAAAGAATCTCCTTGAAGAAGGGAAGCTCTGCTGTCACAGACTGCTCCTGTTAGATGGTACCAACCCTGCAAAAGGGGCCTATCCAGCAGGACAACAGTGCAACTTCCCTGTAGCAGTTCTCTACTAAGACATGGGCCTTCATGATACATTATTAATAGCATAATCAGCGCTGTCATTTGGAGCGGCTCCACGCCATCGCAGTGCCATGTTTGAATGTGTGTGGGATCAGAGGGGAATAACAGACTACTTGAATCGCAAAGCATTTATACAGAGTGCAAACCTGAGCGCATTCTATGTGAAAACACAAAATATTTTTCTGGCCACTATCTTGTCTCTTTTGCAGATGACAGAACCGGCAGATTATATCTTTCTATAAAGCATGTTATCATTCTGGGCTTTATCAAGCAGCTCTCTCCATGAACCTGCATCGCCTTCTTTATATATTACCAAAAAGGATAGTGTCATTTCCTATGATACTAACACCTCTGTTGAACAAAAATACATACATCTCTACCAATGCTGCCGTTTATCAAAACGGCTAATCCAGCATCTCCCCATTGCTCGTCTTTTCAGAAGACCAGGTAACGGAGACCACAAAATGCAGGTTTATTAGGACAGCACCTCTGGACAGCTATGAAAAATACTGCAGCTGAAAACATATTGCTGCACTGTAAGAGAAAACTAAAAAAAAAACTGAATCGAGAACTGGGGGAAGAACAAAAAATGCCATCCACATGCATCATATCCAATAACTACTGCTGATTTAACCAGTGGTTGATACCCAAGGAAGAAAATTGATTAGATCTGCAAATAAGAAGGAAAATATGTGCTGGGCAGCAAGCAATACGGGCCAGAGCGCACACACTACATAAACCCTGCGTACAGCAAACTGATTTCAGTTCTCTCAAGCAAGGAAGCCCTCAAGTTCTGGATCCAGAGCCCTTCTTTTTAAAATCTTAATAGAGATCCACAGCCAGAGCCATTTATCCTCAAACACAACAATCAAAAATTTGCACTTCCTAGCAGTCTGCCACTAAAACCGTCCTGGAGGTTACAATAGACTGGGTAACGTTAGATGGATAAGCTACCACAATCACTTGCCTCCAAGGCAACATCTAACGGTAGGATTAAAGGCAGTTGTTCCTCTTTCTCTCCAATTCCCTATGCAGAGACAAAAATATTCACAGAGGAAAAAGCACTACAATCCTCACTCAGCAGAAGATGGAGAAAGCAGGACAGAGGCCTCACTTTTCTTCTACCTCCTGCGCCTTCCCCAGCAACACAGAACACCTCACAACCTCTGCAGAGTGCTTACTACATTTTTCAGAGTCTCTCAAACCCCATTTAACTTCTTTTTAGAAAAAGACTTAAGTGCCAGAAGGTTCACAGTAGGTCCCATGGCAGAAGTGATTTTCGCTGACTTCGAACAGCATCAGAACAAACCAGAAGATGCAAAATACAGGCATTCCTACGAGTCTAAACCTGTAGTGCATCTGAATTAAAATAAAAAAAAAAAAAAGCAGTGGAAAAGGAAAGAATAAGCAGGAGGGAGATAACACACAAAAAGGTGACTCATGACAGAGAGAGAACAGATCCACTTGAGACAATGGAGAGAAGACACTGTCTTTACAACTAAGAGGAGAATGGGAGAAGAGACTAGGCATTCTCCTTCTTTCATTAAGATTACAGAGGTTCGATAACCAGTGTCATCACATCACATATTCCATTAATCAAATTTGGAAAAAATTACTTTAAGTATATGCATAGGTAGTTGATAAAACCATTCTCAAAGAAGAATCACCAACTGTTAGCTGTCAAACAGGAAATGCTATAAAGGAGAGGCCCACTAGAACCTGAAAATCTTTTAGTATTTTCATCAGTGATTTAAGATGGCCTATAAAACAAAGGATGACACTAAAGGAGAGGGGAGTGGATGCTGAAGGACAGGACTAGGATGCAAGATTAACTTGACAAATTAAACAAGCACGCTTAAAATCAATAAGATAAAATTCAATAACAGAACTGCCAAGTATTGCAAGAAAAAAAGAAAAGGAGTCAAAAAAGAAAGTGTAAAATGGGGAATAACTAATAAAACAATATAACTATTAGATTCGTTAAAGTGCAAAAGTGGACTGCAAAGCCAATACAGGACCACATGGCACACTGCTGCAGAATGCCAGATATTAGCACTAGCCTTAGGTGAAATAAAGCTAATTGCTCAATTCTGTCTGGCACTGGTATCCAGCTGAGGCCTCACCACACGTTAAGAAGGATACCACACGTTAAGAAGGATTACAGAATCAGATACACAACTGGATGTCCTCCTGAAGTCACTTCAAGTCGTAAGTCACTCTGAAAGCTCTTAACTTTTCCAGGCAGAAAACTGCAGTGCTTTGATATCATTACAGCATTTCCTTCTCCTCCTGACCTAACCTAAGTATCTTCCCACTGAAATTTAAGCCCCATTTACTCTTGACTAGATGTGGAAAAGGTTTTATTTTCTTCTTCCCTACAGATCTCTCTCGTAAAGATGAAGATTTTAGTCAAGAGAAGTCTGAAAGAAAACATATGCCACCCAATTCCTCCAAACTTTCATTGGAGATTACATTCTTCAGGCTTCTAATCACTGCTCTCTTTTGAAACTCTAATTAGTTACATATTTTCCTTGAGTACCACCTTCGAACAGGGATGCTGTGTTTCTATCAGTGCTGAGCGGAGAATAAAAATCACCGCACATCACATTTATCAATTCTAATTTGGTAGCTGTGGGGTGTTTTGGGGAGGTGGGGTATTTTTTTGCAATAGCATGACACTTTTGACTGACGTGCTGAACGTAACAACTACAACCCTCAGACCCTTGTCTAGGAAGCTACCACCTAGCCAGTCATTTTCCATCTTTTATTTGTACCATTTGATTATTTCTGCTTCCATATTAGTACCATGCACTAGTATCTACTAGCAGTCTTGAGAAAATGCAAAAAAAAATCATACATGAAAAGACTAAATTCAGATACTGTTTTCTTAAATACTTGCTGGTGTCCCACAACTTAGTTGTGACTGCAAATATAATCAGCATACTGTTCTATCTTAACACGACAGCTAGAAGTCACGATCTACACAGAAATTTTAAAAGAATTTGGTTTTTTAGCCGAGAGAACAGTTGGGGGGATGCTAGGGAGAAAGATGACTAAACAGCAACCTTGTAACAGGCTTTGAACACCTAAGAAGGAGTTAAGGAGTTTATCAAAGGTAGAGGAAGCAGCAGGTAATGGCAAAATTTCCCACAGTGAAGACTTAGATTAAAAATACCAGGAATAACCAACACTAGAATTAAATGCCTATAAAAGCTTATGGCATCCTTCAGGAGATTTTTAAGAACAGCTTAGACATGTACCAAGCAAAGTTCCACAAAATCTGCACTTTATGCATTCCACACCTACTTCAAATTAAGCCAAGATTATCTGTTTCTCTACAGCTTGTTCAACTCTCAGGCATAAGAAGATGGATAAAAGTCATTTGGAAAACAATTTCATTTTCTGTCAAGACATGCTATGAAAGAGTTATAGTAAAAGTGACTGTCTTGCCTCTTCCTCTACGCTGCCTAGTTCGGCTCTCCTTTCCTCTCTCTCTTTTTCCATGTAGGGAACAAGGTGGCCAACTGCTTTCTTCATAACTCGAGCAGACTTTATCACCTGAATGGATAAATGGAGAGGAATAAATAAATAAATCAAACAGAGGAATACCCTCAAATTTCTCATAGCTTTCTTTTATATCCATTCAATCAAGCAACAAAACTTCCTCTCATTTGCAGAATGAGATTCCAGCTTTGCAAAGCATTCTGTGGTAGCAAGCTGCTGGTTCTATCGGACTAAGCGTCCACACACAACACTTACTTTCACAGTGCAACCTCTGGGACCACTCGCAACAGAATGAGAAGCTACAAACAGGCAATCGTGTTTAGCACCTTCCTAGTACAAAGAGGTAACCGTGTTTAGCACCTTCCTAGTCCGGGCCTTTACATAAAATCCATGAAAAAGAGCAAGAGGAAAAAAAGATCCAAACAAAAATCACTTGATTTAAAACTGCCTTCCAAATGAAGCAAAAGCACTCAGGAAAAAAGGAAAACAACTGGGGGGGGGGAATATACACACACACACACACACATATATATATGCACGTGTGTTTGTGTATATACATACATACATACATATATATATATATAAAATATCAAGTTTCAAAGTGTAAAGTGTCAAAGAAAAATAAGGCAAATTAGGCAAATAGGAAAATCTCAATTTTCTGAATTCAAGTGCTAAACCTGATAAGACAGCCAGCACACGATACTTTGGCTACATTTTACAATGCTAGTTTTTGACAAATATGAAAATACAAGAAATAATTTTCTTTTTACCTGTGGCAGAAACATCTTTCCAGCACCAAAAAGATCACCAACAATTTTCATGCCATTCATCAAAGGCCCTTCAATTATATTTAGAGGTCTAGGATATTTTTCATGATTTAATCTTGCCTCTTCCGTATCTGCAATGACATACTTCTCAATGCCCTGGGGAAAAAAATTGAAAAGCTTTTAACTTTCTAGAAATACAGCTTATATTTAGAGCTGTCTCCTCCCTCCAAAATAATAAGTACCTACTTCAGATACTGCTAGTCTTTAAGAATATCTCAAATGTATGCCTAAAATAGGTTCTCCTAAGAAACAAACACAGTATGTCCAAGGCATATAAAGTTAATCTAAGCAACAGTCCCCATATTAGTGTTTTTGTTTTTCTTAACCATGTCAGAAGAGAATCATACATTCACATAAAGATTGCTCCCTCAGCAGACGTGCAACTTAGTCCAACTCAGTTGAACTGTTAAAGGACCAGAGAACAACTGGAAAGTAAAAGCAGTAAGTAGCAACCAGCTAGTGGTACCAGCACTAGCAGAATAAAATACCAAAGGTTAAAGACCTCAAATTGTGAAGTTTAAACACATATCATCATTAATTCTGTCTGGTCTACTGACTTCAAAGCTTTATTACTGAAAAAACTACAGCTGTTGAAGGATTTTTAAGCCAAGGGTGGCCTTTCTAGGCTAAGGGCTGAAATTTTACACTCCAGAGCACTCATCGGCCATTTGCTCAGGCAGGGCAATTTTCTACACAGATTCACCTTTATGAGAGCATATTCCAGCCTTTCCTCTACGGAGCTGTTTCTCCATTCGTCAGTCTGTACCACTTTTTTCCCTCCTTGGGCATGATTCTGAAAAAGACAGACATCCATAGGAGCTGGACAGTATAAGAAGTGCAATTACGGACTTTACTTTCAAGGAAGTCAGAATAATTTTATGTACTGTACATAACATAATTTTAAATTATTCTAAATAGTTATAATAATGTTTTTGTCGTACATGCAAATCACACTGTAAATGTGTGTGATGTCCGGCAGACAGTTAGTGAATCTACATCCCCAAAAGTACACATCTTCATGAAGATGTGAACAAAAAAAGAGGGAACAATTCCAATAATTTTCACGCTCTTAAAAAAAATGCTGAAATAACTAATCCTGAGGGTTTTACTTCTGGAAACATAATTTAAATCGATTCCTGCGTCACACAGTGTCACTTCATTTTAAAATTCTGATTAATGTGGCACTAAACCAGTTTCTGCCGGGAGAGTTTATACTATTTCCTGTCACAGGTATCTTTGCAATCAGAAGGCCTAAAGGACTACTGTTTTTCACACACATGGACTGTCCCAGTCCCTCGCAGACTCCCTCTGCCTCACACTCCCCCTGTGCCCCACCTTCTCTATGAAGGCAAAAGCCAGAAGGGCTTCATGGTACAAGAAAGCTCTTAAGCACCCACCACAAAGGCCCATGGAAGAGCACGCTGTCCATTACGCCAACAATCACACTGCAGGCAAGTAATTTCTTTTTCTCCCTCAGCTCTTCCACAGAATCTGAAGTCTTTCTTCCCCTATGAACCCTTTTATGCTTTTGAGCACTCATTAGCCACTCTTTAAAGACAGAGCCATCAGAACTAAGCCAGGGAAACCTCATCCAAAACAAGATCTCACTCATGAGAGGAGCAAAAAGAGTACGTCCTCATTCGTGCTGATATGAATGCTAGCTAACTTCACCAATCCCACCTCCCTCATAGATCTAGTTTGCAAAAAGAGAACAAAAGGGGGAAAAAGTTGCCTAGAGAGGTTGTGGAGTCTCAATAGCTAAAGATATTCAAAATGCAGCTGGGCACAGCCCTGAGCAACCTGCTCCGGGTGACCCTGCTTTGAGGGTCACCCTTCCATGATTCTCTCACAAGCTGCTAAGTGCTCCTGAACCTCTGGCCAGACATTTTAGCAAGGATATCATTCTCATCTAAACCAACACTGCTTTAACCAACCCATGAAGCTGTAGAGTGGGCATGCAGGGACCACAGCAGCAAGCACAACATGCAGGTCTTTAAAAAATAGGATGATTACACTGCATGCTAAGGATGAAAAAAAAAAAAAAAACTTCAGAAGCACAACTCCCATTGCCATAAATGGGACTAAATTCCAGTTTGAGAATGTTTACAGCTGTAAATATGATGGAAAGTGTTTTTAATCTCAAACTTCGGATGCAAACTGATCTCCTAAACGTACAAAGAGTAATTGCCTTGTTTTCCCCAAAGGTCTAACATTCAAGCAACTGGCAAGCACTATTACCTGCAGGAATTAGGAGGACACTTCACTGGAGCTCTATGAGAGGTGCAATACTTGAAATGGGACTGCACATTCTATGTTCTTTGTGCAGAATAAACTGCAGTAATCAGAAATAAAAAGAGCATATGCACTTACCGACTAGTGAATACATGTCTGTGTTATAAAAAATATAGGAAAAAAAAGCCTTTACAGAAAAGAATTGAGTGATTCAAGTGCACTAAATCAGAGGAAAGTCAGAACCGATATTCTGAAAAATGCTCTGAACTCCAACGCCTGATATGGCTCTTCCATGAGCCGTAATTAAATTATGATCTATCCAGCCTCTTGCACTTCTGCAGAGCCAGAATGATACCCAAATCAACATGCTTACCTCCAGTGAAAACCAGAAAATTTTTGGTCTTGATAGTATTTTGTTCCAATTCTTATTATATCTTTTAAAGATGTTTTGGATCAAGATATTCTTTCTTTTTTTGTAACTGGGGACTGTTTTACCCGCATAACAGAACAACTGCCACAAGGCAGAACAGAGATTCAAATATCTGAAATATCAAAAATAGTTTCCCACACTTGCAGATCTACAAGGAGTTCACGCACATTTTTACTTTTCATGCTCCATTTAGATCCATGTTCTGTGTTCTGCAGAAACACCTAAGCAATCTCTTTCTAAACTTATTAAAACATATTTAATTATGTGACTGATTCTCTTTAAAGTTAAGTCACCTTGAATTAAGACTTCCTTAAGAGAAATGTTTTCATTTTAAGTGATCCCCTGGAGTGCGCGTCTCTCTCCTGCTCTCAGAGATCCATACAGAAAGTATTTAAAATCCCAAACGCATGTAAGTAATTTCTGAAAATTCAATTAAATAGTGCTCTGTGTATGCTGTGTCAATGGTTTAGCTCTGTCCTTTAAGGCCTTCATCTCTGCACTACGTTTTATTCTTTTGCGTGTGTGCATGTGTACGTATGCATGTATGGTTTTCTTCTTCCTCTCCACGCAACTCTAAACAATTTAACAGTAAGAATCTACTAAGACAGAGAAGATCACTTGCAAGTGAATTGCTTAGATACGAACAGCACATTAGGAAACAGCCTAGGCACAAGGGGTAGAGAGAGTCTTCCTGCACTGTTTTTAAACCTGTTGTTATTGTTCCTGAACAGCAGGTATAACTGCAGCGCAAGCTACATACAAAATGAACCTGCACACCTAAACAATGCAGTCAAGAGCTTCAGAAAGGGCACGCAACCTTCAGGTGTGCTTATCTCCAGCTCTAGGAGCCACCTAACCCAGAGAGATTTTTTTTTTGCTGTTGGTTCTGTTCAGAAGAGGATTTCACTAAACTTATGGCTGATAATCTGGAACCCACCAGGAGTGTAATGCATATCTTTTATCATCACCATCATGACAGTATCTCATAAATACTAATGAGCTGATCCCCATTTTGACATGAGATACATCCTGAACTGGAAGTCTATGGCATAGCCAGGAACTGTAGCCAACCACTTAAGTTTTTCACGTATAATCCAATTATACCTTCACCACTAAAGAGATATGTTTACTGTCTTTGCCTTCCACAGGGCACTTGCCAGGTCAGGTGTGCTCCAGCAACAAGGTTTCGTTTCGCTATGCGTTAGCCTTTTCTGCCTTGATTTTTTAAGAGAGCACCTATGCAGTCTGATCTCTTGAAGCAGCTGAAAACTGCAGTGCAGGATCTTTCAGGGCACCTGGGAAATTGGACAGGCTCAATCTGTTACAGAGTTCACGTTCTGTTCTATTTCAGTAACCGAACCACACGCAGTATCACTAGTAACTTCCAACACCCACTGCTTTATTGGCACACATGCACGCTTTATTGATGTTCTATCTATCATCAGCAGGGAGGTGTTGAAGCCCAGGTGCTAAGCTAACCGCTATTCAAAGCTTAAAATTACAAGTTACCTGAGCATAATATAAAAGTTTCTCGGTTGCATCAGGATCTTTGTTCCAGATTAGATTCTCACACAGCTGCAGCAATTCCTTGTGGATATCATCATACACTGGCAGATTCCCAGCATTCACAATTCCCATGTCCATGCCATACTGAAAAAACATACAGAATCCCCCGACCGGGGCTCTCAGACACAGCCCTGCATATTTGCCAAGCGCAAATACACGGGGGCCAAAAGCACATCATACCTTGATTGCATGGTAAAGGAACACCCCGTGCATTGCTTCTCGAATGGCATCCATTCCTCGAAAGGAGAAGGACAGGTTGGAAAGGCCTCCACTTATCCTGGCTCCTGGCAACGTTTCCTAACAGAATTTTATGCAAACTTTTAGAAAAGCTGCTTCCAAAAAGGAAACTTAAGCAAAGCAAACAGTCCATAAAACACTTGGTCCCTGAACTGTGGGGCACTGGCAATTCCCTCTCTTTCTCTCTTTCCTGTTCTAGATCCTTCTACAGTTATTGAGGCTCATAAAAAGGAATTCAAATCTCTATATAAAAAACTACAAATAAAAGAAGAGATCCAGTCTAGCTATACGGAAGCAACTGCCATGCTTTCTGTAGTCACTGGTGCTGTTCTAAGTGCACAGCAGCATTCCAGATGTTCCTGCCGGCAGACCTACTTACGTCTCTTCCCATCCCTCAGCCAGCAAGGCAGGAACAACCTCCCTGCCTGCCTGCATGTCTCAGGAACGGTTAGCTGCCCATGAACTTGAGCTAGCTCACGTACTTGAGCAGCTAACCTCGAGGGAGCAGCCTCCCCCTAGAAAGGCACATGTTGACAAAATGCCCTGCCAGGTATTCAAGCCCCAGACTACTGTTGACAAAACATCTCCAGACCAGCTGATTTGCTTTTTGAAATGCAATAGTACAGCTTCCCTGGCTGTATTCACGTAATAATCTTCATTTATGCATCTCCTGACACACACATTTTGGCTAAATAAAAAGTCAGGCTACTGCACAAAGTCTATCCACGGTAATTGAACTTATATTAATTAAAAAGAGCAGCTTTCACATACCTTCAAAGAGGTCCTTTTGGCTAGAACACTGAAATGTTACCTTATTTAATTAGTATAGTATTTTTCAGAAGAGTTAATGGATTGAAATATATTTATAGAACTATTTAAAGCTCTTCTACTGGAAATACAGCAATATGAGGGAACAGCTGCTCTTCAGAGGAATACCCCCCCCCAATCATTTAAAATGCTTGTTATTTTGCAGTAGTTAACTTTTTTTTTTTTTTTTAAAAGTAAACCCAGTAAAATACTTTAAGTCAAAATAAGCTTACAACTCACTTTTATGGTTTTAGTAGCATTGATAAAATTCACGGCATATAGGTTATGTTCTTCCATTCCAGTACCTATGGTCAAAATATTAGGGTCAAATATTATATCATTTGGATTGAAGAACACTTTTTCCACGAGGAGGTGATAAGCTCTGGTACAGATTGCAATCTTGGTTTCCGTTTCTGTCGCCTGGGGAAGAAAAAAAATTCTTCCATGAAACTAATAGATAACGCAAAAAGGAAAGTCCCCAGAAATCATTTACAGCTCCAGTGACTACAAGATTGGGAATTCCTAACTTGAACATCATGAATATTAGAAAAGGATTATACGTAAGAATTTTGTATTAAAAACACCACCACCACACCTGTATCTGGAGTTTTGATTCTACTCATTAGAAAAAAAAAAAAAAAAGATTTTGTTCTCTAACATTTCCCCATCCTATGCAAAGTTTAACATTTGGTTTCTGAAAAAAACGAAATGACAAAGATTCCCTCTACTATAAAACTCAATTGCTGAATTAAAGAGTCTTTTGCGAAGGAAGGAAGAGCTCAGCATAGCAGAGTAAGCAAAAAAATCCAGTCTTGTGCTAACAGCACTATATTTGGAGCAACACTGCCATTCCTCAAACAGGTAAACAACATAAGAAATGCTTATAAATCAGGGTCAAAACTACTGCTAACAGCAGAGGCCTCTTTAAATCACCTACGCCAGTGAAAAATACCTGCTTTAAGAAAGCGACACTCACCTGACCCACTTCATCAAAAGCCATGACAACCACAGCTGCTCCATACAACTTAATTTTCCTTGCTTTCTCCAGAAAGTCTTTCTCACCTTCCTTCAGACTGATGCTGTTCACAATGCATTTCCCTTGGCAGCATTTCAAACCCGCTTCAATCACTGAGAAATTTGAGGAGTCAATGCATAACGGCACCTGCAAATAACACAGAAGTGAGCAAGGACAATACATACATGTTATGAGTTACGTGTTGCACATGTCGTTTGCCAATTTGGACATAAAAGCAAACACAATGTTTATCAGTTTTTATGAATAAGAACTTTCTGGATGGCACTTGTTGATTCACTCTGCTTTAAATGCAAACTCAAAGCAAATTTAACTCAAGGGCTTCTATGAATATTCTGTCACACATCACACAGACACTTTTCCTCTCTGCATTGTCTTGTGTTTCTGAATGAGATACTTATTTCTAGAGAACACACTTAGCAGAAGCATCTTTTAGATTGCATATCCCTAGCATTTTTAAGTCTTTGTGTGAAGCAGCCCAGTCATGCACTGCCAACATATAAACTGTGGCTCAAAGCTGTTAGAACAGGAACCTACACTCAGCTTTAACCAATGGAAAAGACTGGCATATGTTTAGCTGAAAACAGAGAACATTAAAACGTCAGTTCCCTCCAAAGGCTTTTCTATTATAGTACCTTCCTCTCTTCACTATTGTCCAAAACTGCCCCAAGAAGGGCATCAGAGCAGGGTGCTCTGCTGCCTCTGTTTTTTTTTTTTTTTTTTTTACTATGTATCTAATGAAGGACAATTTATAAACATACACCTGCTTACTAAGCATCGAACCTGGTTACTAAACAAATTAACATTACAGTTTTCTGAAAGGCAACTTCCAACTCAACTAAACGTTCTGTATTGTGCTTTGGTGCAACTCAGCTACTACCTTTGCAATATCAGGTTCTGAAGAAATCAAGTTACAAAATCTGGTCATAGCAGCAGGGCCATCCAACATCCCATCGTCCATATTTATATCGAGAATCTGGGCCCCCATCTCAACTTGCACTTTGGCTACACTAAGGGCTTCCTAAAGAAAAGATTCAAAAACCAAAACAAGTCATCAGAAAACACGGTCTAGTCATTCTCAAGATAACATTTCACCTTCCAAAAAAGCGTGCAGCCCTACAAATTATCAAAATAAAAGTATCCTTTCTTAAAAATTTACAAGGCAATCTGTAACAGAGTAAGGAAATGGTCCTTAACAGACAGCAATAGAGAAGTCATTAGCATGGCACAATCTTTAACTATTTTATTCACAAAAACACAGCACCAGAGACCCACACATGCTGACACTGCCATTATTTTTACACTGCTGGACTTGCGTTTAATTGAAAGATCTAAGATTTGCATGGTAACAAGGATTTCTGATTGCACATGATTACAGGAAAACAGTCTCTGTGATGGTATGAAATAAGGGTCTGGTGTCACAAGCTATGCTCTTTTTTAAACACAGAGTACTTTATTTTTAGAGGTTATTTGGCATTTTTTCCAGATGCAGAATAATCACCAAGCGCTAAGAAGGAAATATTAAAGCTTTCCTTCCAGCCCACATAATTATCTGAACACCCGTGTCTGTTCGCTCTTTCTCTTTTTTTCATCATGCTGCAGATTAGGGAGGGGAAAAAACGAAATAAAACAAAGGCTTTTAGTTGTTTACAGCCCCTAAGAAGCTGTATTTAGGCTCTTTATTTAATAGGCCTAACTTGCCTCATGAATCACAAGACCTTAAGAATCAGACTTCATAAAACCAAGCTAAAGCTTTAATTTTCACTGCATCAATTAGAACAGCAGAGCACGCTTTGGGGCAGAACCTCAGCCGGCAAGAAACATTACCGTACTATTTGTTTCAATGAAGTTAGAGTAACAATTGACATCAGTAAACAATGAGCCCTTCAGCCTTTCCATTTTGGCCCTATAGCCATTTCAAGATGGCAGCTTTCTAAACACCTTCTTCTGTAGCAACTCTCACTTAGCATGCTAAAGCCAGTGATCAAAGTACACACAGAGGCAACTATAATCCGGACTAGGACTGGAGAAGGGAGGGGAAGCAGAGTGCGGGCTGCATAGTGGCAGAGCCTCTCCCGGGTCAAATATACCCCACGCGTGGGAGGGAGGAGGGATTACAATCCCTTTCCTTCTTCCTCTCTCCTCTGTAAACCCACCCCAGATATAGCACAGACATTTTCTATGCCATCACTCTATGTAACTAAAATCAAAATAGCAAGTCATGTTACCGGTAACATTTGTCAAAAAAACCCCTTGTGAAACCCTTGTTGCACATTTCTTAGGAGCTGCTAAGCACAGAAATAAAGGGCAGTGAGAAAGTAAACTCTTCTTTTTTTCTTCCTCTTGTAAATGGCGTAGAGTAGTGCTTTGTACCAGCAAAAGAAACAGAGCTACCAATGCAATGGAACAGAGCAATGAAAAATCAGAACACTATCTATAAAGAGCATTGTTAAAAAATATACTTCAAAGTTGCCTGCCATGATGAGTTTAGCAAACTTCCGTGATCCTGCAACATTGCAGCGTTCGCCAATATTAACGAAGTTGGTGTATGGCCCAATCCTGAACGGCTCCAGACCTTAAAAAGATATTTTTGAGTATATTTGTAAAAACACAGAAAAGAAAAAAAATGTGCAAGAAAGGCAAAAGCCCTTTCCAATTGGTGAAACGCAAATCTTTCTTTGGGAATCAAGGTTTCTCAGCATATCAGGACATGCACAGATCTAATGCATAACTAGCAAAGCAATGCAACAAAATAAGTTAATTATAAATAGACAACCACTTCCAAAACATATGCCAAAGGTTTCTATGCTTCCTCAAGGATAGTCAATAATTTATCTGACCCACAACGAATAACGGCTAATATATCCAGTATAAAATGACATGAAGCTGCGACGCTCCTGGGCACCCACGCACGCTACTCCATTCCCAACTATGTTATCTCATGACTAACACCATCAGAGAAGCAGCCCACTGAAACGACCGCCAAACAAAGGGACGGCTCTTAATCACATATCTAAGTGCAGAGAAACCAGGCAACAGCGAGAAGGACTCTTGGGTAACAAGCAGCTCAGCAGTAAACAAACCTTACAGCAGAACAGAGAAGGAGCCTGCAGGAAACCATGGGGCAGACCATGATTTATTTCATTTATGTTAAACTGTTTTAACTTTGAGATATAAAACAGAAACCCAAAACAAAGGGCCTGTTTTATTTGGAAGCATTGCTCAACGGCTTAAAAGAAGGCCTGGCTGAATAATACACAGAGCCAAACTCTTTTTTTTTTTAAGATAGGAGGAAAAAAAAAAAAGACAATGCTATAACATTGTCCCAGTACAGATGGATCCAAGTGTGAGGCCATAGGGGGCAGCTGTATCACAGCAGATGAACCAGGATCTCTTCCCAGCTCCACCACCAGCTGTAGTCAAACTACTCAACCTCTCTGTGCCTAGCTCTCCTCATCTGCAAAGTAAGGATAAAGCTAACTCACCACTACAAAATGCCTGATATTTACTGAGTAAAATACGCTGGCTTGGTTATATTATACAAGATTGCAATAAATTGTGCCATCAGTCCTTTAGATTCAGGTTGAGATAGGCCAAAGCAATAAGATTTGCATCCAGGTATCCATCAATAAGCTTGCTGGGTTCAGGTAGAACCAGAAACTCATAGCCATTCTGATTAGTAGAGAACAGCAAGTATATTTATAAAGGAAGGCTACATGAGTTAGAAAGCTCAAACTGTTACACTCTGTTTTACCTGATAGCAGCATGTATCCTTCAGAGAGAGAAGAAGCTGGAACGCGAGGTTTACATGATTTCACAGCTTCAGCAATTTTCCTGAGTTATAGGAAGAGGAAAATAAAGACTCTCAAAGTTTTTGACTAAAATTAAACCACTCCAAACAAGACTCTAACAGAATATACTCGACATACACCGCACGCCTCCAATTCAGCCCTGTTCCAGATAAGGCTAATGAACATTTCCACTTTGTGGAACATTTCCACTTTGTACTTTGCCAAAGGCAAAGTACACTCCTGGAAGATCCTATGTAGCTATTTGCAGGGAACGTACAAAGATAAAGATTTATGGCATACAGAACATTAGAAACCATGACAACTGGAGGATCACTTACAGGTAGCCTGATGGATATCAGTACCAGCCTTCAGCCACAGTGACTCTTATCTGCATTCCTGACTCACTGAGCTGAACAATTGCTGATTGCAGTAAAATAACAAGGGACAAATATCATTCTGTGCCAAGATGCATTTCTCAGGTCCCAGAACAATTCATGAACTTCATGAGCTATTCTTCTTCTTTTCTCTCCAGTCAGGAGCAACATACGCTGACCTCTGCACACTCAGGTACCACCTCCCAGTTTGTATAAGGGTAAAAATTAACCATAAAGGCTCCTTCTCTTTTAAGGGTTTTTTCATATCTTTCTCACTAGACGAGGCACAGCAACACTTCTCTCGACAGGCCAGGACTAACATCAGCTTTATAGCACTCCCAGATCCCGTTATAAATTTCCCTCCCTTTCTCCCCTCCCCTGGCCTGGCCTTCCTTTTACTATCGAAAGAAATCTGACATGTTACCAGCTGCCTAGGGGCACCACAGAGAGGAAGAATGTAAAAAGTAAGGGAACAAAGATGGGAACTCTATTCTGTCCCATGGTAAAGAGGGAGGAATGATTCTGGAACAATTTTAGAAGACAAAACAGCAGAGCTATAATCCTTGCTAGAACCATGCCTCTACCCATTCCTCAAAATACACATGGCTACAAAAGCCAGATTATTTCTACTGCACATACTGCTGCTATTTTCATTCACGTGATCCATCTTTCAAGGAAGCTCTAAGACTTACCATGGCATATTGCTCCAAGGAAACCACATTTAATCTACTTTTCGGTGCATCTAAAGTTATAGTTCATAAAGTACCTGATATGTGCTGGTGTGGTCCCACAGCAACCTCCAACTATGTTAACCAAACCATCCAAAGCAAAGTTCTGTAAAAGTGGGGGAAAGAGAGAGTTTAGTTTCAAGTTAAGAAAGGTATCTCATATCTCTATTCTCCATATTTTTAGCAAGTCAGGGGAACACAGGAAAAAAATCAGATGAAGAAACATGAGTACTATTTTTTTCCTTAGGATTTGTTTTCATATGTGGATGCCTAAGTCCAACTGGCAACTTGCTAATTTTAGGAAGCTGCATTTGAAACTGGCCCACTTTATGCTCAGGTCCTAAATGAAAACTTGGATGAATACCAAGATCATCGATACTATAGTATAGAAGGCAATCAACATGTAGAAGATACCGCATTCTTGCTGACACACAGCAAGTCCAACTACACAGTTCTGCATAACACAAATCGAGCAGTGCTTGGAAGGATAGATACCTTGCACTGGAACACCACCAGTATCAGCTGTGCCTACAAAAGCAACTCTGTAAAACTCTGCCAAGTTCATAAAAACCACTCAGCTCTTTGAATAATTCCCAAACGGGCAAGCAAGAATGTAGGAGTGCAAATGAAAAATATCTGCAGATCAAGCTGCAACAAAGCTGTTTAGTTAGTAGGCAAAGGGAGCCCAAAGTAACCAAGGTCTTCAGAGTTTCCTAAATAGCTTCTCCTACCCTGACACCTCAAAAGCACTGATGGCTATAAACAGACAAAATGATACGCAGAGCCATCTGAGGATAAAACTAACACAGTACTGTAACAAATTCACATAAAATAAAGAGATGTATGTCTATGTCTACTAATATGCCAGATAAAACACGTTCATGAGAAGAAATATTACATACCTTTATATGCTTAGCAGTCACTTCCGGAGTTTCATCATAACCACCAAAAGTATTGGGAAGACCTTGAAAAATAATTTTCCTACTACTGTAATTTGTTTAAAACCTCTTAAAAGCACAATTAAATTCCATAAAAGACACATTTAAAGTATCTACACTTGTATGAGAACTACAGTGCCTCATCATCTGTGTAATCGTTACTCAACAGATCGTTATTAGTTATGCAAGACAGCATTCTGAATTCACTGTAACAGAACTAAAAGCAGTTACTTTCAGAAGCCTAAAAAATTCTTAATCTGCTTTTAATGGTAGCAACAACCTTTTCAAGCTAATTCAACTCAATTATTTCAAAGGAGATGGAATGTTTAAATAAATTTCTTCTGTATATAAGCACAGGAATATGTGCACATGCACGCACAACACACCTGCATTGGGGTAACAGATGACGTAGGCTGTTGTACACTTCCCAATTGTTTCAATGAAAGGTCGCATTTCAACTGCCCCTAAAGCACAATTTAAGCCAACACTAGAAAAAAAAAATTGTTTCGATTTGTAGGCAAAGCATAAAAACACCTATTACAAACAAAAGAGATCAAAGTTAGTGCTGGTAACTACTAACTCCTACAATCACCTACAATTCAACCACCCCCTCTCCCTTTTCTTTAACAATGCACAGCAAGACTTAATGGATGGGGGGAAGATAACATCTCTGTAAAAGGACAAGACTCTGAGGGTGGAGGAGAAGGGCAAGGGGGATTCCCTAAGGAGGAGAATGAATTGAATTGGGAAGGGTAAATCAAGACTTCATTTCAAAGTCCAGGAGGAAAGTGGTGGCATTCTGACAGCAACTGTAGCAACCTAACAACTCCGTACTTCCTACATGAGCGAGAGAATGGGTGGAATGAGAACAAAAGAGTGAAAAAGAAGTTCTGTACTACAGAAGAAGTATGAAAAAAGGTGAAAGAACACAGAATTGCCTCAAACTACTAACTTACAATTTTCTTTAAAAATTGCACATAAATTTTGTCAACCCTAGAAGAAACCGAGTGCATCCTCGAAGTTGCCTCATGGCAGCATTAAGCTTTTGCATTGAATCTGCTCAGTCTATTCTCCTGTGTCTTAGTGACCTGGACAGCACCACAGCAGGAATCTTTTCATATAAATAATCTTCTTAAGCAATTTCACCAGTACAATAGGTACAATCCCGTTTTCTTTAATTCAACCACAAATACATAAGTGTGACTTGCACTCAAAATGACTACATTGTTATTAAAAAACGAAATCTTTCTTTCATAAAGTATGTAGGAGACCTTTTACAGATCCTTTCTGATCGCTCTGCACCATTCTAGCAGCCATCTTACCAGTTCTGCAAAACTCAAAAGTTGCTCATAGTGCTGCTGGAAGAAGAAGGTGCAAAAAAGCTTTCTCCTTTCCTAGGACAGTCTCAGGGAGAACGCAAGCTTCCTCACAGAAACTAGAAGAGATAATATCCACACCTCCCAGCTAACTGAATGACAGGCTGCTTCAGAGGTAGCAAAGTTAATACAGCGCACATATGTCCACTCCACTTCCCAGAGGTCAGAAGCAATAAAGCCCTGAACAGGACTAGGAGCACAAAATGGCTTTTACTTTTCTCTCATTTCCTAGTAGCAGGCAGGGGCTTCGTATTGGTAATTGTACAGACAACAGCAGCAATTATTTGCAGCCCAATTCACTTGTTGAACAGAATGACGAATCCTTGGGATCCCAGGGGCTCCTAGCACCATCCCAGAATGGGGACCTGAACACCGTACAGTCAGTTTCCTGAACCAAACAATGCACAAATCCCCTCTTCCCACAGCTTTTTATCTTAATAGCCAGATGTACCTCCAAAATGTTTTCCAATGCATTTTCTATGGGCCAATCTACTTACACAGAAGAAGTTTTAAAAGAACCCTTTATTTCCATCTCACCGTTCTGTGCTAACATACATCTAAATCATTCACGTAGATCCCCCAGGTATATACAGCACGTACTAAATCAGGGAATACACAATTACAACAATGAAGACCTGGAATTTATTGCAAAGTGTGCACTCTTCTTTTAAGATTTTTGAAGCAAAGCACACTAAGAGTTGTAAATGAGATTATCTGTCCTAATCAAATGCAGATGAATGCAATGTATTTACCACTGTTAAGTCACACTCGATTTACAAGCCTCCAGCTCACACTTTTTCCCCTACTCTCCTCTTAAGGTAACTGTCTTTTATATTAGGCAGCTTCATTTCTCCTTGCCTCATCATCTGTCTCTGTTTTTGAGTTTAGACTCATCTGTCACGCTCTGTACCTTACCTCAGCAGTGAGATACCATAAAGGCAGCCAGCCTACTCAGCAAATGAGCGCTTTTTGATGTTCTCACTTGACTTACTGCGTACCGGCCCTCCAGAACGCCTCCAGACTGCCTGAAGGATCGCCTGCCGCAGGGGTAGCTGCCACTTTAATGAGCACGGCACCATCCATGCCTTACTTGTTTCAAGACTATCGAATCAAACTAAGCACAGACACGTACATTCACTCAGAAGCAAAAAGTAGCTTCCGCTGCCACCATCATCTTCACATGCTACTCAGCATCATCCTGAGAGAAAATACTTGAGAAACAAATCTAGTAGCCTGGCCTCAAAATCTAGCAGTCTGGAATCAGGCAGCTGGTCCACTACCATTGCTGCCTAGTGCAATAACCGTCACGCCCTCACCTTGAAAGTCATCTCTCCCTTGCTCATTTCTTCACAGCATCCACTTATCAGCTCCTATGACAGCTAAGACTACAGAGCACCTTTGGCATCAGAACAAACACCGCATTAGGGTCCTGAACTCAAAGTATGTCTTCTTAACCCTACCACAGCTAAAACAATCACAGGATCTGAAGTAACACAAAGGGAACTCACGCCACATCTGAGCACCCTTCTCAGGAAGCAGCCTGCCACCCGTC